GAACCTCGTAAGTGGAAGAAAAGCAGAAGAGAGAGAAGTATGGAAAGGACTTGGTCCAACCTTGCTGGTTTTGAATATATAGGAATAAGGCTATAAGCCAAGGAATGCAGGCAGACTCTAGAAGCTAGAAAAGGCAAGGAAACGAATTACCCCCCCAGAGACCTCAGAAGGAACTCAGCCCTACCAACATCTTGGTTTTAGCCCACTGAAACCTATTGCAGACTTTGACCTCTAGGACTGTAGGACAATAAATTTGTGTTTTTTAAAATGCCATTGTGTGTGGTAATTTGTTATAGCAGCAATAGAAAACTAATACACGCACCAAAAAAGCAAAACAAAGCAAAAATACCAACAATAAATGTGTTTTGGAAAAGATTGGAAGCAATAAATTTGTGTTTTTTAAAATGCCATTGTGTGTGGTAATTTGTTATAGCAGAAATAGAAAACTAATACACACACCAAAAAAGCAAAACAAAGCAAAAATACCAACAATAAATGTGTTTTGGAAAAGATTGGAAAGATTTTCAAAAAAAAAAAAGGAAAATAAGTTAGAACTGGTTGTGGATTTTTTGTTTATTTTAAAATAATAACTTCTTTTTTCCATTTTTAAAATTTTTCCAATATCTTTTTTGTACTGCTTTGACAGAAGAAAAATAATAAGCTTTTATTTTCTCTTTTGGAGGTCCTACCCATCTTTCTGTCTTTTTTTTTTTGGTTGCTAGCAAGTTTGGGGATCTGCATCCCACCTTGGTGTTATAATACTGTGCTCTAACCAACTGAGCTAACCAACCAGCCTCTACCCATCCTGAAAGGTCCAGGTCAAATGCTGCCTCCTCCAGGAAGCTTCCCAGATGCCTTGGCTTGCAGCTGGATTCTAAGTGCTCAGGAGCATGGTCCGTATTAGATTCTCCCCAGGGCTCTACCCGAGGAGGACAGCAGGGGGTGGGGGAGACACTGCCTCTCAGAAGTGGGCAGACCCTCCTGTAACATCACTCTCAAAACGGCTGCTCCACATCTGAAATGTTGGAGCCTCCTAGCCACGCCTGGTTTCTTCTCCCCTAAAATATGTCATGGAGTAAGGGTGAGGGGAGTATCAGAGAAACCCAAGTAATAAAGCCAAGGCTCAAACCTCCATGGGTCATTTGTCGTTCTCAGCGGTGTGATGTGGGAAGTCGTGTGGCTTTATGGGAGTGCAGGCTGGGCAGTGCCAAAACAGGATGGCCTGGGTGCTCGGGACACTCTGGCCTTCTCCAGCCATTTCTCAGTGCCAGCTTCCAGAATCACCCTCCAAAATGCAAAGTGGAATGTGTCACTCTCCTGCTCGTCCCATAGGTGAAGGCTCCCTGTTCCCCTCCAGGTGGAAGCCAAGCTCTTCATCAGGGTGATCCAGCCCTGCTTGCCTCCCCAGCCTCATCTCCCAGGCTCCCACTCCCCCATGTCCCACCTGCTGCTCCAGTCACACTGTGCTGTTCAAACCCCCCATGCCTTGGCTCGCTCCCCCCTCCACACACACTGCTCCAAATGTCTGGAACGTCCTTCCCTAGCCCCAGTCCCTCATGGTTCTCTGAGTCAGCTTGGCCAGACCTCTTCTGAAAGCCACGAGGAGGTTGGGGTTCCTCCTCTGTCCTCCTGATTCCCTTGTGTCTCCTTGCTCCTGCATGCCCCCCATCCCCAACCCTGTGCCTATTGCTATATTCTAGAACAGGCTGGGAGCCACCCTCCTGCAGCATCAGCTCTAAAATAGCTGCTACACATCTGAAATGCTGGAACCTCCTGACAGCCCCCAGTTTCTTCTCTCCTACAAAATGTTATGGGTGGATTCCCAGAGCCTAGCACAGAGCCTGGCACAGAGTGAGTGCTCAGTAATTTAGTTATTTATGTCTCATGAGAAGCGTCACAGACAGTGGAAAAGTCCCTTGTAGCTTGAAGTCCATCCCAGAGCGGTTTCTCCTGCCAAAAGCCAGAGCTGGCTGAAGTCCCTTTCCTCTAAGACACAGCCGCAGGGCCTGAAGAGCCCACAGAGACAACAGAAGTAGCACCCTTCCCAGGGAGGACAGCCAACACACATCCTGCTGAGCGAGAAAGACCTGGCACTTACACCCCAGTGCCCTAATGTGAAAGGGGGAATAAGGATGCCTCCCTCATAAGAGTGTCACCAACACTAAAAAGCAACAATTCTAAAACAAGGGTGGGGCTGGCCAGTTAGCTCACTTGGTTAGAGCGTGGTGCTAACACCAAGGCCGTGGGTTGGGATCTCTATACAGGGATGGCTGGTTCGCTCACTTGGGAGAGCATGGTGCTGACAACACCAAGTCAAGGGTTAAGATCCCCTTATTGTCATCTTAAAAAAAAAAAAAAGGAAGGTGCTTTGTACAATACATATACAGGCAAGGGATTTGTCCAGCATTAGTGTTAAATATTGTAACCAGGGGGACTGGCCCACTAGCTCAATTGGTTACAGTGTGGTGCTGCTAACACCAAGGTCTAGGGTTCAATCCCTGTACCAGCCAGCCACAAAATATATATATATAGTGATCAAAAAAAGGACCATCCCATTGTCAATGGGTATGGACAAGAAGAGACCAGCAGATGCCATAACAGGCAGCTGGACCTGGAGTGAGCCCAACCTGTGTCTGTATGTGACATTGAGGTGACTTGGGACAAGTGTCACCCTCTCTGAGCCTTCATGTCTTTTCCCACAACATGGGGGCCTGAGAACCAGTTGGCAGTGCTGTCATGACGAGAAGATGAGATAAAGAGGTGGGGGACTTTGTAGGAAATCAATAAATAATGCATTTTGTTATTGTTATTATTAATAAAAGCAGAAAAGTTGCAAACCAGACCAGGTCAGACTCATTGTGTTTCTAATTCTTGGGAGGGAGGATGGGGGTGATACTGGAACTACGCTTGTAATTCCGGTGGCTTGTTTTTTCTCTGCACTTAACTGTGGAGTAAACCACATGTGGTTGTCACTCTGAGGTGTGGCTTCGGTCCTGTTAACGTTTTATGGCTGTCATCATAATAACCCAGTTTACATACTCTTTCACATCTTATTACAGAAGCGATCTGGGTGAGGCCCAATTACAGTTCGGGTTCTGGGGTCCAGAGTGGGTGGCCTGGGAGAGCAGCTCCCCAGGAAAGAGGACCCACAAAACCTGTTCCTGCTTTCCGAGGGCCCCACAACTGAGAGGCTGAGACCCCTGGTGGCAGTGAGCCTGCCCCACTGGAGCCTGCAGTCCTGACACTTAGCCAGGGCCCGGCCCAGAGCAGCGGCTCAGAAAGGGTTTGCTGAGTGATTTGAAGAATGAGCCTAAAACCCATATAGAAAAGAGCTCCCCTTCTCCAGAGGCTGAGGGAAATAAGAGTGTGCAGTCTGGGGTTCCAGGGCTGGCTCTGCCTCGGGGTGGCCCATCACAGACTCGCCTTTCCCTGAGTGCACAATGGGGATGGAGGGGTTGTTGGACAGGAGTGTCTTCAAGTCCTCCCTGTCTGGCAGCTCACAGCTTGGGTCTCCCTAGATCCCTGTAAGCCACATGCCCCGACCAGCCCACAGAACCTCCCTGTCCTCAAACCTCCACTCGTCAAACCTCCCCTCACCGTCCCCCTTCACCCCATCTCCTCACCCACCTCCCTCCCAGCACCCCAAACTCAACACTGGCTGGGCCCACCCTCCCCTGCACCCTGCCAGGACAGCAGCCTCTGTGCCCTGGGTCCTCCCACTCTCATCCTCACTCGCCCCACAGCCTCTCCCTCCTGCACCTGCAGCCCCTCTGGACAGGCTCTGCCTCCCCGTCCATCCCCATGCTCCCCACAGATCTCTGGACACTGTCCTTGCCGACATCACTATCTGTCAAGTCCAGGGGCCTCTTGCTGTCCTTAGCAGGCCCAGGCACAACTGACCACCCCTATCTTCTTGAAGTGACCCTTCCATTGGCTCCTGGGCCCCAACAACGTCCAAAACAACAGCCGGTCTAGGGATCCACTTTCTCCTATAATTTTTTTTCTTTTCTCCTTTTTGTCTTTTTTCGTGACTGGTAATGGGATCGCAACCCTCGGTGTCACGCCCGCACCGTGCTCAGCCAGTGAGCGGACTGGTCTCTATATGGGATCCAAACCCTCGGCGGGAGCACTGCCGCACTCCCAAGCACTGCACTCTACCGAGTGTGCCACCGGGCCGGCCCTATAATTTTTATTTAACAACACACACACTTGAATCAGTCACCAAGTACCTTGCTGGATTTCTCTATGAACCTCTCTTAACTGAAGTCCCTGTGCATGCTACAGGTGATACTTGAATTTATTGAAACTTTAGGGTCCCTGGAATAGGGACAACTTCTAATTTGCTTCCCACACAGGGGCCCCTAGACCTCGCTCTGTGTGAGGTGGTGACTCTCCTCCTTTCCCGAGGACTCGCTGGCCCAGGAGTGGCCTGCAGTATAACCCAGGACTATCTGTTTCAATGCTGGGTAGATAATCTATCAGCCACAATCTGGGATGGAAGGAAAACGCACGTCCCTCAAGCGGATCTAATCTGTTCTTGTCACTAACCCTGGCCTGATCTGCGGGATGCCCTGGAGCAGGGCGGAAAACCCCCTAGAGTGAGAAGAGAGAAGGAAGTTAGAGGTCACCCAGCCTAGCTGCTTCCTTTTACACAGGGGGAAATGAAAACCAGAGAGGGGCGGACAGGCGGTGGGTGGGGGCTCAGTCCAACATCCTCTGCTGCCTCTTACTGTGCTCAAAGTTCATTTTGAAGGCGGCAGGATTTTCTGCTTGACCTGTTAAGATGTGGGAGGGTGAGGGGAAGGAGCAGGGTGGGGAGGGAGGAGGAGCTTCGGGAGCTGTCTCCACACTGGGACATTCTGGGGCTGGGAGCTGCCAGGTCTGGGAGGGAATTCGGTGCTGCCGGAGTCTCCTGCCCCCCACCCAATCCCTCTGCAGGGAGCTTCAGGGAACCTCCTCTGGGCTGTGAGGAGTTGGGAGGCATTTCCCAGAGAGTCATCATGGCCTTTAGGAAGAAGTGCTTGCACAGCCCTACTGCAAGGTTACTTGCTGGCATCACCAGTTTGGCTCTGGCGTTCCTCATTGTGTTGGTCCCGATCTTCACCTTGCAGCACTACTCCCAGCCAGGTAGGCACCTCCCTCCCGTGCAGTCTTGATTGGCCTCCCTATGGCCCATTCCTTCTCCTTGCCGGAGCTCTGTCCTCCATGGACAGCTCTAATGGGCTCTTCTCCTGTCCACCACCCCCATGAAGACTCACTGCCCGTCCACATCTCTATTTGCCTCTTCCATGCCCCAACCCCACCATCCCCAGCAGAGGGTCCCTTTAACTTCCCTGGCCTTCATCAGTTACCTGAAGACCACCAGATCTCAGCCTTCAGCCCAGGACAGACGCATGGACACCTCCAACTCAGCAGACTGAGAACTCACCAGCTGCAGCCCACACCTGCTCTTGCCTACACCCTCTGCCGCTGGGAGCGGCCTCCACCTCTCCCTCTGCCTCCTGCCTGTGCTCTTAGGTCCTGAGCCTTGAGGGTGCTGCCTTCCCACCCTCTGCCCTCCATCCTGCTGGCCATGCCCTCTGAGGCCTGGGCTCTCCTCCTGGGGCCCTGTGGTGGCCTTCCCCTCCCACATAGTTCCTCGGCCACCTGTCCATGCTCGCTCTGCAGCCAGTGAGATCTTCCTACACACACGCCACTCACTGTATATGCCCAACTCCTTTGCTGGCGGTCAAGGCCACTTACCATCTGATCCCAGCTCTCCTTTCCATTCTTGCCCTATTCCACTTCTCTGTAGTATTCCATCTGCACCAGGCCAATGGCCATTCCTTTAGGCAGCCACACTCTTTCCTGTGGCCAAGCCTTTTCTTGTGCTGTTGCCTCTGTCTAGAATAATCTATTCCCCGCCTTCTGTCAATTTACATCCGTCCTTCAAGGCCCCCCTTATATGTTCCCTTCTCTGTGAACACCCCTTTTCCTGACTGCCCTAGGAGCCCGTGTATTTCCCTTTCTTGCAGCATCAATGACTGGGGCTCACTGTCTCTCTGCTAGGTCGCGTGCTGGGCACACTTGGGAGCCCAGGGCAGGAGTCTCGGGCTGGGGCGAGGTTGATGCTAACAGCTCCCTCGGCATTCATTCCAGGCTGTGAGCAGAACGGGTCCTGCCACCCTGACGCGGACATGCTGGACTATCTGCTGAGCCTGGGCCAGATCAGCCACCGGGATGGCCTGCTTGTCACCTGGTACCATGCAGCCAACAGCCAGGAAGAGATGCAAGAGGCTCTGAGCAGTAAGTCCAGCTGCTAAGACTAGAGCAGGTCAGGCAGGGGATTGAAGAAAGGGAGGGAGAGCAGAGGCAAGGATAAGACACTGTGGTCACGGTAGCATCGTGAAGCTACATACAAGTTCTGTCATCCTCCAAGTAAGGAAATGAGTGCCCAGAGGGGTGAAGTGACTGGCTCAAGGTGGCACAGCTGATCAGCCTAGAGTTTGAACCAGACATCTGATTCTAGAGCTATCACCGTACTGCCCTGCCTTGCAGCTCCCCTCCCTGCACTTGTCAGGTGCCCTGTCCTAAGGAGGCCTTTGCCCTCCAAGCCTAAGGAAGCCAGATCTGAGTGGGAGGCCCAATGCTGCTAAAAACAAACAGGAACACCTGAGTAGATTGTGTAACTCCTCTTGAGTCTCAGGTTCAAGATTATAGCAACGAGTCAGTGACAGCTCACTGTGTGGGACATACACACACATTTACCCACGGATTCTCCTGGGACTACCATGCAACCTGTTTCATGGGTACCATTTACAGAATAAAAACAATAGCTCAGAGAAGTTAGGCGGCTTACCCAAGGTTACACTGTCTGAAAGTGGTTATGCCAACATAGGAGCCCGGGGCAGTCGGTTCTAGAATCCATGCTCTGAGCCAGCACATTGTGCTCAACACCCAGGACAGCAGGGAAACACCCTCTCCTTTGGGACTATTGGGAAGCTCGATAGGTAATGGTCAGGAAAGTGCAGGTAAACGCTAAAGCAGTGGGCATAGAAGATGAAGGGAATGGTCCTTGAGCATGCTTCAGAAGACATGGGTGCTGTCCCATCCCAGCGTCTCTGATTCAGTGGATCCAGGGTGGGGCCCAAGCATTTGCATTTCTGGTAAGTTCTCAGGCAATGCTGATGCTGCTGGCCTCAGGACCACCCTTGTTGACACTGCTCAAGAAAACTCCCTCCATTTCAGATGAAGAAACTGGGGTCCAGAGTGGGAGAGGATCTTGTCCAAGGCCACACAGTAGGTCTGCAGCAGAACAAGTCCTGGGTGCCAGGCCTCCAGCTCTTATGTCTACAAGGTCACCATGCCTGAGGGTCTGGGAGTAAGTGTCTGGGAAAAGTTTGCCAAATGAATGAATGGGTGGCTGGAAGGACTTCTCAGAGGAGGCAGGCTTGGTGGTCAGCAGGGGCAAGGCCATCGCAGGTGGGGTGGGGCCAGTTTGCTGCTGCTTGAGGGATCTCTGATTGCATGGGTGATCGCTGGACGTTAGTAAAAAGGAGGACAGAGAGCCTTCTCCCCTGATGAGGGAGCCAGGACAGAGAGGGAAGACTCTTACCTGGGGGAGAAAGGCCAGAAGTAAGGCAAAGAGGACCTGCTGCCCTAGGATTATCCAAGATCAGCCCTGGGGCAGCAGATTATAACATGAGGATGGAACGGGATGATGCAAAAGCTCAGTACCTTCCCCTCCTGGAAATCCATGCACCTAGATTTTAGAGAAATCTGCTAAGGTTCTCCGGGATGTAAGGTGAGCTCTTTCACCTCTGTTTATCAATCAACAACCATTTTGAAGCACCTCTGTTAGGCCTGGTGCCATATAGGCACCGGGCAGTCAAGTGATTCAGACCCAAACCCTGATCTCCTGGAGCTTATACTCCGGAGGGCTGATGCTGAGCAGGCAATTACATGACCTGGGTCCTAGCACTGAAAGAAGAAGTGTGGATTTCTCTGACAACAAGAAGCAGGGTGACCTAACTTAGGCTGGGTTTGGGGTGCTTCCTTGAGGAAGTGATATTTTAAGGCAATACTAAAGGACAAGGAGGACATGGCCTAGTGACGCTAGTGAGGGAAGAGTGTCACAAGGGAACAGCCAGCAATGGGGAGGACGAGACAAATTAGAGCCTTGCTACTCAAAGTATGGTCCCTAGACCAGCTGCATCGGCATCCCTGGGGAGCCTGTTAGAAATGCAGCATCTCGGGCTCCATCCCAGATCTACTGATGAGAACCTGCAGTTTAAAAGTTCCCGGGTGATCTATGTGCATATTAAAGTCAAAGAAACAGGAGTGGCTGGAACCTAAAGAATGGGGGGGGAGGGACGGAGGTTTCCGTAATGGGCCACAATAATCAACCACATTGTATATTGACAAAATAAAATAAAATCTAAAAATAAAGAAAGAAAGAAAGAAAAAGAATGAGGGAGGGAGGGACACGAGATGAGATTGGAAAACTTGGCAGGGCCTGCACGTGCAGACTGCAAAGACTGTGTGTGGTAAGGAGTCTGGATTTGATTCTCAGGGCAATGGGTGGGTTTTCTGGTGTTTTTTCTTTAATAAGAAGTAACATGGTGAGATAGCTGTTTAGAACCCTCACTCTAGTGTCTATAGAGAGAATAGACTTGCAAGGGAGCAGTGGTAGATGTGAGAGGAATGGCCAGGAGGCTATGAGTAAACCAGGAGAAAAGGCCCCTTCTCATGCCGACCGTCTGTGGTGCAAATGGGCAGAAAATGACCCCTCCCTCCCTCCACTACAGTCCCCAAATTCCAGTGTCCCATGCAAGGTCTTCCAGATTTTGCTCCCTACTAGGCTGAACTGGAGGGAAGGAACAGATGGTGTCTGCCAGACTGAGTTAACTACATGAGGTTAAAAGATAACAATAATGCTCAGTGCTGGTAAGGATGCAGTGAGACGGGAAATCTTAGGTTCTCCAGGTGGGAATATGAGTCAGAGCAACTTTTCTGGAAAGTAATATGTCAGCATGGGCTTTAAAACGATCCTGTGTTGCCCTGACTCAAATTCCACAAGGAGAGGACAGAAATAATCAGAAAAACAGAATAAAATATGCACCATTATTTATTAGTAGCAAAACACTAGAAACTACCAAAGTGTCTCAGGAATAGGGGGATGGTCATGTACAATGCAGTGAGCATCCTCGACCAGGGCGTTTGAGGGCACTTTTCTGTTTTAATGATACGTTTAAAAGATGGTGAAAATGTGTCATAATGTTGAAAGAAAAACATAAAAAATTATAAATGTAGTTGAGTAACTGTAAAAATTATACATAGGAAAAAATGGGAGAAGATGAATCAAAATGTGAACTATGATGGAAGTGTGGGTGAATGTTTTCCTCTTTTTGCTGCTTTTCTGTACTTTTGTGATGAGAAAATTTTTTAAGTAAAATTGAGTTCTGTCTCTTCCACAGGCAATGCCATGGTCCTGGAGGCTGATGTCACTGTAGAAGGGCTCGACACAGCCAATGAGACAGGGGTCCCCATCATGGCCCACCCCCCGGCCATCTACAGTGACAACACACTGCAGCAGTGGCTGGAGGCCGTGCTAGCCTCCTCCCAGAAGGGTAAGTGCCCCTCTCAGCCCTCTGGTCTCAGGAGCAGGTGCAGGGATCCCTCACTGGAAGGCAAGTCCAGTCCCTGATGCCCCTCTCAGCCCCCTCCCTGGCTCCCCAGCCCTCTGGTCTCAGGAGCAGGTGCAGGGATCCCTCACTGGAAGGCAAGTCCAGTCCCTGCCATGAGTTGCTCATTGACTTGGCTTTCCCATCCCAGCGTTCCAGACACCCAGGCAAAGTAAAGACAGTGAGATAAGGCGGTGTGAACGTGTATATCCAGGTCGGTCTCTCCTGGTCACACAGGTGAGACAGAGGATTCCGAGTGCATGTCCAGGTGTTGTCTCCTGTAAATACAGGTGAGACAGGTGTACAGAGCAAACTGCAAAGTGCCAGCATGTTCAGGTGTTCGCTCCTGGATCCACAGAACTGGATACAACATGCTCAAAGTCAACCTCCACCCTTCTCCACCATGTCCCTTTGCCAGTCACAGTCAGAATCTGGGTATCACCCTAATGCCTCCCTCTCTCTTGTCCTCCACATCTACTCAGTGGCTGCATCTGCCAGTTCTAGCCCTTATTCCTCCCCTTCCCCCCAGTCCAGTCCCAGCATATCATCTCTCTCCTGGACCCCCTTCCTCACTGGCTTCCTGCCCCACACTCAGCCCCTCGAGTCTTCCTTGACTCCACTACCACACACACACACCCAAGTGATCTTTCCAAAAGGCCAAATTTGTCATGCCACTCCACTGCTTTAACCCTCCATGGCTCCCCATTGTCCTCTGGACAAAGTGTGATCTCCTTGGCCTGGCTGTCAACATCCATCTACAACTTCTCAGCCTCATCTCCTGCCATCTCTTCATCCCATTTCCTCACCACCCTCAAGAGGATCGGCTCGTTCATGCTGAGCCCTTCCTCCACCTAGATTGCCTTCCTCTACCCTATAGGCTCTGGTGGCCTAGGACCCTCTGAGCCTGCCCTGCCAGGAATCACAGGCCCTTTTCATCAGGTGCTTGATTCCCCACTGCACCAGCCCCAGGTCCCAAGCCTTTGGCTGGCCTCTGCTTCGTCCCTGTGGGAGATGGGAACTCACTCTTCTGGAGGTGAGCCTGTCATCTCTGTGCCAGCCCTGCCTTCCTCACACACAGCTGAGATCTGATGACTGTCTTCCCCCCGCCCGCCCTCCCCTCCATCACACATACACACACACACACACACACACACACACACACACACCTCTCTCTCTGCCCAGGCAGTCACGTCTTCCTGGTTCCTGCACTAGTTCCCCAAGTCCTTGTCCCCTTCCCCACAGGCATCAAGCTGGACTTCAAGAGCCTGAAGGCTGTGGGTCCCTCCCTGGACCTCCTGCAGCAGCTGACAGAGGCCGGCAGAGTCCAGAGGCCCATGTGGATTAATGCTGATATCCTAAGGGGCCCCAACGTGCCCCTCACAGTTGAGGTTAATGCCACACAGTGAGTGTTCACCTCTCTGTCCTGCTGTGTCCAGTCCTCAACATCTAGCACAGGAAGGGGACCTCAGGGGACCTTTGCGTTTGCTTCCAGTAACACCAGGTAGTCTCACCTCTGAGTCTTCATACATGCTGTTCCCTCTGCCTCAAATGCCTTTTCTCCCTTTTCTAATAAACCTCTACCCAGTGATTATCACCTCCAGAAACTTCCCTGACATGCCAGACTGCTGAGGGGCTTCCCCCAGACTATTCAGCCCCTATACTTCCTTCTAACAGCCAATTTTGTTGTGCTGTCACTGTCAGCTTACACGTGTGTCACCCCTACTACATCGTGGACTCCTGGAGGGCAGACATGGCCAGTCATCTCTATCCCCAGTGACCAGCACAGGACTTGGCCTGCTAGAAAAGTCTAAGACATTGACTTCCTCCCCCACCCTCCTGAAATTCCAGTAGTGCCACTAACAGCCTTCATATACACTAGCCACACCATGCCCTATAGTTTACAGGGAAAGGCCACATAAAGAGAGATTATATCTGATTTGATCCTTACATAGCACTGCCAGGTTAGGAGCATTTTATTCCCCCCATTTTGCCAACAAGAAAGCTGACAATAATTGAGACTCAATTTGTTGAAAGTTTATTATGTGTCCCAGGCACTGTTTTAAGCATTTACTTGCAGAATATCATTTAACTCTTATAATGAGAATGAGGTAGGTACTATTATTTTTATTTTATTAATACAGGAACTACCTTTTAGAAGTTAAATGCACTTTTAGAAAGTGGCAGAGCAAAGACTCTAACCTAGGCCTTTCTGATTCTAAGCTCCATGCTCTCTCCCGTCCCTCTCTCCCTCCCTCCATCTGTCCATCCAACCAGCCAACAATCCATCCATGCAACATTTATTGTGCTTCTCAAACTGAGGTGCATTTGGAAAGCAGCAGTTTAGAAAATGTAGCCAATGGCCCAAAGTAAATATGGACTGTCGTCTTGGAGTGTTGATTTTACACCATAGTTTTTTTTGGGGGGTGAGGAGCAACACTATTTGCCTATTAAATTTTGCATCAGGGCAAAATTCAAATAAAATTTAAAAAGAGGGCCGGCCTGTGGCTCACTTGGGAGAGTGCGGTGCTGATAGCACCAGGGCCACGGGTTCAGATCCCATATAGGGATGGCCGGTTCGCTCACTGGGTGAGCGTGGTGCTGACAACACCAAGTCAAGGGTTAAGATCCCCTTACCGGTCATCTTTAAAAAAAAAAAAAAAAAATTAAAAAGAAAAGCTGAAACTTCAGAAACTTTGGAGCAGCTGGCAGAGGCCAGATCCCCAAACCTGGGCTCTGAGTCAGTCACCTCTGTCCATACCAGAATGTTTAAGAAGCCCTGCCCCAGCTGGAAAGGATGTGGTCTCTGAGAATCAAAGAAGTTGAGTGGCCTGCTCAAGGTCAGAGTCAGGACCTGAACCTCCCTGACTTCAAAGTTCATACCCTGTTTGGGGGACCTTGAACAGCCACTTCTCTTTTGGACACTGCTTCTGCCCTTATATTACAGATTCAATAGGCCCCGCCACTTCCTAGCCTGTGATGAGAACCCCAGAGGAGAGGAGGGGACGAGCGCAGCTCTGAAAGATCACTGTCTCTGATTCTCTGCAGGTTCCTGGCCCTGGTCCAGGAGAAGTATCCTGCGGCCACCCTGTCTCTGGGCTGGACCACTGTCTACGTGCCCCTGTTCCCAAATGGCACATACACCCAAGCCATGGTAGAGGAGATGCAGGGGCTGGTGGGATCGCTGCCTCAGAGGGTCACCTTCCCCGTGCGGGCTGTCATGGTGCGAGCTGCCTGGCCCCACTTGAGCTGGCTGCTGGGCCAGTCTGAGAGGTAAAAACTCCCAGGCTTCTTTCACAGAGCCTGCTCATTCCAAACCCATTCCCAGACGGTGATGCCCCCAGGAAGATCCCAGATGCTCATGTCTACAAGGGTCCTAAAGTTTATCTGGTCCAACCCCTACTGTGCTCACACCTTCTACAGTGCCCCTGCTTTCTGCTTGGATGTCTCTGGTGATGGGCTGCTCCCTCCTGAGAGAGCTCTTCCATTGGTGGGTGACTCTGCCCGTTGAAAGGTGTTTAAACTGAGACATGTTTGTTTCCCTGCAGCTTGCTCCCATAGGAGCCAGCTGTGCCTCTGGGGCTGCCCAGATTGCACCTGCAATCCCTGCCCCAGAATAGCCCTATAGGGACGGAGAGGCCCCCCAGCCCACAGTCAGCTCCCAGCTGCCCAGCCCTACCTTCCTCAGTGGCTCCCCACGGGGGTCCTGAGGCTGCCCCCTTCCCCTTTTCATGTCTGACCTCCCTGCTGTGCCCGTCCCCTTTTACCCTGGTTCCTTTCCTAAGACTGGACTCAGAAACAGACACTGCAAGTGAGGAGGCAGGGAGGCCACGCCCTCCCTCCTTCTGGGCCTCTGCTTTCAGCCATTGTTCCTGAACTCCCTCTGGCTGCTTCTGCCCCTGGGAAGGGGTAGTGCTCAGGAAGAAGTGGGTGGTGGGAGGCTGGAGGGTAGATGCTCCACCTCTGGGCACAGGCAGGTGCTGAGCTGGCTCTCTGGGCCCCAGGTACAGTCTGACGCTGTGGCAGGGCACCTCAGACCCTGTGTCGGTGGACGATCTCCTCTATGTCCGGGACAACTGCGCTGTCCACCAAGTCTACTATGACCTCTTTGAGCCTGTCCTGTCGCAGTTCAAGCAGCTGGCCTGTAAGGAGAGAGCCTGGGGAGGGTGGTGGGGGCTGGATTCTGCACAGAGGAGCACTGGAGTGGAGCTGGGGGGAAGGGCTATTGGAAGGGGGATATCCTGTGTGGACAGAAAGGAGGAATCATTTTGAGCACCTGTTGTGTGCCAGAACATGGTATGCTATTCTACACTTCACATAACCATGAAGCAGGGATTCCGTTTTATAGATAGGGAAACTGAGGCTCAGAACAGTTAAGGAATTTATATAAAAGTCATCCAGCTTGCACATGGCACAGCTCAGATCAGAACTCAGCAAATACCAATCCCCATATACTTGTGGCCTAGTTCCTCTTCAACTTACTCTAACGTTTCAGAGAGCAGCCCTTCCATTGTAGCCATTAACCAATGACCCAGACGCTACTGTCCAAACCCCTTGTGCCTTGACCCTGAACCTAGGAGAACCTGCAGTTAAGCCATCTCAAGGGGGACCTATTAAAGAGGACCACATTTCTGCCCTGGGAGCCACCTAAGTGAGGGGAAGGATACCAATTTTGTGGTCAGACAGATCAGGTTCCATTAGGTTTTGATCCCAGCAACTGTTACTGGTTGTGGCAAGTCACTTCTTGTAGTACACAAAATGGGGAAATTACAGCTACCCTGGCAGGTTGCTGCAAGGCTTAGAGTACATGTAGAGCTGTGGCACACAGAAGGCACTCTGAGTGGCATCCACTTCATCTCAGCAATTTGGGGCCCCACAGTGAATGCCACACGGAAGCGGATGTTCTACACTGGAGGCAGCCTGATCCCTCTTCTCCAACTGCCTGGGGGTGATGGTCTGGACGTGGAGTGGCTGGTTCCTGGCGTCCAGGGCAATGGAAGGACAGTAGCAGTTACCCTCCCAGGTAAGGTCTGCCTACAACCCTGGTGCTCCTAGCTAAACTGCAAGGGTGTCCTATGCTTGGGGTGAGGGTCTGTTACCATGGCAACATGGGTGAATTTAAGCCGCATGCTGGATACAAGTGGGGCAGGGGGAGAGGGAGTACAGTGGTGTCAGGAGCACAGGGCTCCCCACCTTCAGACCAGCACCCTTGAGTCCTCAGCCATATCACGTTGTGGGAGAGGTGGGCACAAGCCCCAGGGCTGAGTCGCAGATAAAGGCCAAGAGCTGGGCTAGCAGTTTATCGTGTCAGCCTGTCGAGCACCAGGCACCTTTAGAAAGCAGCCCTTCCACCTGGAGCACAGAACAGGGTTGACAGGTGAGACACCAGCCCCTCCTCCTTGGTGTCCCCATAAGCCCTCACTGCCTCTTTAACAAGGGACTCTGGCGCCCCATGATAATCTGACCCTGATGCTGTTGCCTCTTCCAGACAGAGAAGGCATGATCCTGCTGAACATTAGCCTCCAGGAAACTGCAACCAGGGGCCCTGTGCCCATTGTGAGTGCCCCAGGTGGCCCTGTCCTGACACTGGAGTCATGCCTGTTGCAGCTGGCCACGCGCCCTGGACACTGGGGCATCCATTTGCACATAGAAGAGCCCACAGCTCTCCGGCCATCCTTGGCTATGCTGGAGTACCTCTCCATCCTTGACCTTCTGCCTCGGCCCGTGTGGGTTGGGGCCACAGTCTCCCATGGGAGTTTTGTGGTCCCTGGCCATGTGGCTGGCAGAGAGTTGCTTACAGCTGTGGCTGAGGTTTTCCCCCATGTGACTGTGGCACCAGGCTGGCCTGAGGAAGTGCTGGGCAGTGGCTACAGGGAGCAGCTGCTCACAGATATGCTGGAACTGTGCCAGGGGCTCTGGCAACCTGTGTCCTTCCAGCTGCAGGCCGGGATGCTGGGCCAGAGCACAGCTGGAGCCGTAGCCAGGCTGCTGTCAGCCTCCCCCCGGGCCACCGTCACAGTGGGGCACAGCCCTGCCAGGGGCAGCTACACAGCTGTGCGGGCAGCATTGCTGGCAGCCAGGGCCGTGGACAGAACCCGAGTCTACTACAGGCTGCCCCAGGGGTACCGTGAGGACTTGCTGGCAGATGTTGGTAGAAACTGATCGCCCAATGGTGCTGGGCTGGCGGACCCTGGGTCAAGGCTTCCCATGGGGAGGCCGGATGAAATAAATGCCCACCTTCCTCCACACATTGTATGCAAGTCCTTAGGGCAGGATGGAGTGGGAGTGGACCTAAAGTGGTCACTGCTGCACCTAGAGGGTCTGGAGGCTGGGGGCCAGATCATTCCGGTTGTCCAAGAGGAACTGCTCACAAGCCTTGACGGTGGTGTAGAACTCAGAGGAGAGGCCGGTCACATTGGTGGTCACGTAGTTGAGAACGCCAGGGGTAGCCTGGTTGTAGTAAGACACCTGCAGGACAGGAAGCCAGGCTCAGGGAAGCTGAGTTGGGAGAAGGGGCACCAGGGGAGTGGGAAGCCCAGGGTGCATGAGGTAGGTGGGAAGTCAGCCTTGCTAGCCTTTGGGAGGTCAGCAAACACAGTGCAGCTCCCTGGGATCTTAGAAGCCGGGTACAAGACTACACCATTAGCAGGCATGACCTCCTCCCACAGATTTCCCCTGACCCTTCCTCAGGGTGCTGACACCCTGCCTTCCCACTATCACTGCACATTGTACTCTCATCTTCCCTGCAGTCAGGAAAGACCTGGAGGGCAGTGACTGGGTCCCAGCTCTGAATCCCATTCAAATGAAGGTGTGCTTGGGGGACACAGAGGCACCTTAGACATAAGCCCAGGGATCATTCTGAGAAGGTCATTGATTTCAGTTGGCAAACACGGGCTGAGTTCCTGGGATGGGGGTGGGGGGGTTGCAGGGCCCTAACAGAAGGTGTGAGCCAAGGAAGGGGGACTGCAGGACTCCACCCTCACTTCCTCTCAGTTCCTCCCCACGTTTTCAATTCACATTAACCACCCTGCAGTTTTAAGGGCCCTCAGAGGCACATAAAGCCTTCCTAGACAAGAAGGGGTCTATAAGTAAGTAATCAGATAGAACTCGGGATCAGAATCCGGCCCTTCTGCCCTCAGCATCCGGAGCGTTTTCCAAGGCCCTGAAGCAGTCTCTGACTATCTCTGCACACATGAGGTCTCAATGAAGGCTCATTTTCAGCCCCTGATACTCTTAGGCTCCCCCAAGCCAGAAGAAGGAGCCTGGTGGAGGCAGGCCCAGGTCTGGAATTGTCCTAGCCCAATAGCACTGAACTCATGGGTGTGTTGCACTGGGGTACAGCCGGGGGCAGGGGGGATGATGGCGCCAGGCCTCACCTTAGTCAGCTGGTCCCCCTCACGCCAGAGGCAGAAGCCCGAACAAAGGGTCTCCCCACGCCTATACTCTGGCGTCTCGCAGTGTGTGGGCAGCGTGACCGATCTCAGTGCAATGGCATAGGGGTCCCTGGAGCAGAGGAAGGGTGGGAGCGGGGGCAGGGATCAGCCACAGAAGGGGGTGAAGGCCTGTCCTGCCCAGCCAAGGCCAGGTCTACCTAATCCCAGGCTCCACACCCCCTCTGGCATTGACACCCTCACCAGAGGGTGTAAAGAACATAAACTCTTAAAGCCCTGAAGCCCAGCTCAGCACCAGGCTGGAGAGAGGAGGCACCTGTGGGGTGGACACACTGAATTCACCTAGGAACCAATGTGACTGCTGTGGATTTTCTGGAGAAGGACTTCTATGGTGGATAGTCAGGGGCAGGGTGTGTGCAGCCTCAGCCACGCCAGGCAGAGGTGACCCTGCTTTAGGGCATGAGTGACTGGAGGGGAAGTGTGTGCCCTTGTCTCCCATTATACCCACAGTAAAACCACACAGCCAAGGGTCCCACTGCCAAGGGGAAGCAGAGCTCTGACTAGGCTGATGTCCCTCCCTGGGAGAGAGGTGAGGCCTCCCACCTCTCCACCTTTGCACCCCCCAGCAGGCAGGCACCCACCCACTGTCACAAGGCTTCCGCCGCGAGGCCAGGATCACAAAGTCCTGGGGCTTGGCATCACCACTAAGGACAGGGCTGATGACGTGGTAGATGGCATCATCCTCGTCCACCTGCTGCACCAGCTCCACACTCCTGTGGGAACACAGGAGCTCAGGGCCTGAGAGAGCCACATCAGCTTCCCGTGGGAACAGCAGGTCTGGCCCAGGCCCTCCCACATAGCAGCCTCCCTGAGCAGCCTCTGGGGACACTTCATCCCCTGTACTGCTCAGCAGGGACCAGCAGGAGGGCAGAGAGTCCAGCCAAAACGGAGACAATGTGCACACACACAGACATGCAAGCAAACGCACACCTGCAGGCACACACAGACACAGGCACTCACACACGAGCACATGTGCACACACAGACATGTACACACACTAACACACACACACAGACTTGTAGGCAGCATATGTGCACATAGGGACACATGGATAGACACTGGTGCACACAGATACCCATGTGTCTGTACATCTGTGCAGGTACACATGCCCCACATAGGTGTGTGACAATTTAGTAGTTGTACTTAATATTTCGTGAGCACCCACTATGTGCCAGGTGCAGTTGTAAGTGCTTTACACGTATTGTCTCATTTAATCTCCACATCATGTCCATATGGTTGGTGCTCTCAGTATCCCCATTGTATAGATGGGGGCGCTGAGACTCAGGGAACAACCTGCCCACAGCCCAGAGCCAACAAGAAAGCAAGGCTGGGATGTGCTTGGGCTGTTGGATGGCAGAGCTGTGTCCCGATGCCCAAGCACACAGCACACATGTGCCCAGGTACACACATAGGTTTACATCAACCACACACAAGGACATCCACACAGAGATACAAATGACCACGTCCCAACCCACGACCCTGCTACTTTCCCCCTGCACAGATGCTGCCCTGGGAGCAGGATATAGCTGTGGACAGGGTAGGGGGAAGCAGGCTAGGAGCTCCTTCCCCTGAGGCCACTCCCACCCCTACAAATCCCATCAAGATTTGATCTGGCCTTCAAGGCCCACACCAGACACCTGCGCCAAGAAGCCTTCCTACCAAATGCACAAGCCCCTCCTCCCACCCAACATCCACCACCAAACCACCTCTCTGGCATCTAGAATGGCACTGCCAGCAGGCCTGGGGGCACCTAGACCATGGTTATCCATCCACCACCTCTCTGGCATCTAGAATGGCACTGCCAGCAGGCCTGGGGGCACCTAGACCATGGTTTTTTAAAGCAACACAGTCCTTTTTGCAAAGAAACATTAAGCAGGAAGCCCGTGTGTCAACTACAAGTGGGTGAAGGTCGATGGGGGTAGGCAGGGAAAGGCCAGTTTGTCAAAACCAACTCACCAAATGACCAGCTCACTGAATTTCCAAATACACAGATCCTCCTGGAACTACTCAGGAATATAGGCTTCTCGTAGTAAGCCAGTGGAGAGATGATCAAAGAACCCCCCCAAAGCCAGGGTGCTGGCAGTAATAGAAAATGGCTTTTAAAGAGAATCAGAAAAATACCAGTTTGAACTTTAACATTCCCATATTTGACACTGAAATTTTAGGTATTTTCCTAAGAACATGTTTATCTTCCTTGATTAAATTCAAGAAGAAGATATTCATATGAAGAATCAGTAAATTTGGAGAACAAATGTATTCAAAGTAATGACATATTTATATCCATAGTCATTTGCTATATTCAAAAATAACATATGCATGTACATATTCATAAGAATTGGCAAACTTGGAAAATTCAGCAAATTGGCCATTCTATTAGTTGGCCTGAATCTGGGATGGGGTCCCACCTACCCCTCAGCCTTCAACCCCACCCCAAGCAGTTCCTTAGCCCCCTTTGGGAATGGAGAACTCCACGGAACATGGTTTGAAAATCACTGGCCTATCCCTGAGTGCAAATCCATGACCCACCCACCAAGTACCCATTTTAAGAGGAGGAAAACTGAGACCCAGAAAGGAAGAGACTTGCCCAATGTCACCCAGCCAGTTGGGACAGAAACAGGACTTAAACCCAGACCTCCAGGGCTGGCCCATGGCTTGGGAGAGTGTGGTGCTGACAACACCAAGGCCACGGGTTCGGATCCCTATATAGGGATGGCCGGTTAGCTCACTTGGGAGAGTGTGGTGCTGACAACACCAAGGCCACGGGTTCGGATCCCTATATAGGGATGGCCGGTTAGCTCACTTGGGAGAGTGTGGTGCTGACAACACCAAGTCAAGGGTTAAGATACCCTTTCCCGTCATCTTTTAAAAGAAAGATCCCCTTACTGGTCATCTTTAAAAAAACAAACAAAAACAAAAACCCAGACCTCCAACTCAAGTTCCAGGTCCAGTCCCTTTCCTGAGGCTCAAAATTCCCATGACCTTGACCCCCACTGATGGAGTTGGATGTGTTGTCCCCTCCAAAACTCATGTGGAAATTTGATCTCCAATGTGGCAGCGTTGGAAACTGATTGAGTCATGGGGGCGGATCCCTCATGAATGGATTAATGCTCTCCCTGGGGGAGGGGGGTAGTGAGTGAGTTCTCGCTCTATTAGTTCCCGCGAGAGCTCGTTGCTTAAAAAGACCCTGGCACCTCCTCTCTCTCTCTTGCTTCCTCTCTCGCCGTGTGGTCTGCTTGTACCCGCTGGCAGCCTGCCGCTTTCCACCATGAGTAGAAGCAGCCTGAGGCCCGTGCCAGATGCAGCTGTCCCAGAATCGTAAGCCAAATAAACCTCTTTTCCTTATAAATTACCCAGTCTCAGGTGTTTCTGTTATAGCAACACAAAACTGACTAAAACACCCACCTACCACATAACTGCAGCCCACCCCCACTCCCACTCACCACCTGCCCCTACTAAAGGCCAGCAGGGGCAAAGCACAATGGGACTGGCTCAGCAGGAGGAGGAAACACCCTCCCAGCAGGCCTGGGACAGGACCCTGCCCGCCCACACCCAGGCTGCTCACCGGTAGTGCTTGTCCCACTCGGGCCTCCGACGTAGGTCCGAGAGCAGCAGGAAGGCCTGGGCCGCGTCCACGTGCACCACCATCTCCAGGTGGAAGGAGAGGAACTTGTCATCCTCCAGAGTGTACAGGCGGACCTGCACAGGACAGAGGGCAGCCTCATTCCCACGTCCCCTCCCCAGACTGTGCTGGGGTCTGGGGTGGATCAACTGGGTGCTGGAGGCTGGGGCTGGAAGTTCAGGGCTGCCCGACTTGCTGTGTGACTGTAAACAAGTGGCTCAACCTCTCTGAGCCTCAATCACATGACCACAAAAATGGGCTGTTGAGAGAACTCAGCACAAAGGGACAGCACCTGAAGAAGCGGCGACTGAGGCAACGATGCAGTGAATCCTCAGAGCCAGATACCCGACTGACTGACCCCCTCATGTCACACGGGAAGTGACTTGTCTGAGCGCCCAGGCCAGAGTGGCAGAGCGTGGGCTTGTCCAGTGCCTCTCCCGGCAGTGACTCGCTGCAGAAGGGTCGGAGAGGAGGAGGCAGTGGCTGGGCAGAGCGCAGCAGAGTGGAGAGGTCGGGGGCAGGAGACAGGATTTGGGCGTCTTCCGCCCCTGGTCCTGTGGGGGCTGGTATGTTTCTATAGCTGGGTCAGTTTCATGGTCTCACCCAATTCCTCTGAAGAAAGCCCCTTTTGACAGAAATGGTTGGAGAGCAACCCGGTTGCCTGCCACCAGCCACCTCTGGCTGCTCAGAGGGGAAAGGAAAGACCGGTGGGTAGTGCCAGCTACCTGGTTGATCTCCGAGGACAGCACCCAGTTGTCCTTGGCCACAAGCATCTTCAGGGACGATATATTGTTGTAGCTCAGGTACACCTGGGAAGAGCACACAGAGACGCTACCTTCCCCTTCCTCGGGCCCCTGTGCCCAGGCCATGCTGGTGTGCAGGAGAGGAGCTGGGGCCACAGAGGGGACGGGTGCTGTGCAAAGAGCCCTGGGCTTCAGGAAAGGAGATCCAGGTGTGGCTAGACCCATCGTGTGACCCTGGACAAGCCACTCTATCTTTCAGGACCTCAGCTCCCTCCTGCCAAGCAAGGGGACACAGGCAAGCTGTTTGCTAAACTATAACAATTGTGAGGCGCTGAATTAGTATCCTGTTCCCTCCAGGCCTTCCTCCAAACCCACTCCAACATGTGGAGGCAAGGGGACCCTGGTGGGCCTGAGGACTGTCCCTCAGAGCAGAGAGCCTTACCTGGTTGCTAGGGTCCCAGGGGACAGAGAGGGGCACCTCCGCCTGCTTACGGGACACGATGTACTTCCTGGGAGGGAGGGAGAGAGGGAAGATAACAACGTGGTCCCTTGGAAGTCCATCGCTTTCAATGGACTTCACTGCAGGCTTCCTGTGTGCCAGGCCATGTGCTGAGCCCAGCAGGATGGGAGGCTCCTGTCTGGCTAGGGAGACCGGACAGACACACAGAAAGCAGCAGCTGAGAGCACACCTCAGCCCAGTACACCAAGGCCAGCTCAGAGGCAGGGAACAAGCCAGGAAGGGTGCGGGGTTTAAAACTCAGTCCCCACACCCTTGCCGAGTGACTTCCCCCTTATGCCTCAGTGTTCTCGTCTGTGAAATGGGATCAGCAGTCACACCTGCCTCGTAGGGTCATCACAAGGAGAACAGTGCTTGGCCCGTAGCAAGTGTTCCATAAATGCACATTTTTCTTATTAACAACTTGTGAATCCTGTTGTGTTTATAGCACTACAAAGTTTGTAAAGTGCTTTTCACAGCAGTCAGACACACCTGGGTTTACGTCTTGAGCAACTGCATCTCCTCTCCAAACCTTTCTTTCTTCATCTGCTAAACAGGCATCAGAATCAATGGAAGGAACAAAGGACTTAAAAGTGGCCGGATCTGGCCAGGTTCAAATGCTGACTCTGTGTGCCCATGGGCAGGCCACCTAACCCCTCTGTGCTCAGTGTCCCCAGTGTGAAACATGACCAAAATGAGAGGCTGCATGGATGTAAAGGGCCCAGCCCAGGGCCCAGCAGCCATCACATGGGCAGCCCTGAAAAAATGCGAGGGTCCTGGGGTCAGTGGAGTGACGGACAACCCTGAACCCATGTTCCCTCCTACCAGCCAGCCCCCACTTGCCTGTCTAGGCGAATTTTCTTCCTGGCACTGGCCTCTCGGTACCGCCGCTCACCATCCTGGGGAAGAAGCAGAGAAAGACTGTGGTTCAGGAGAGACAACCAGCCCCCCTGCCCCCGTCCCTGCTCCTTCTCCCCAGGGCCCAAGGAGGCCCTGCGGCCCTAAAGTGGAGTCCAGGTCTCACTGGGGCAGCTGGAGCCAAAACATCCTGGCCAAGAAAGTGCCAGGGAATGAGCTGCAGCCCCAGCTCCCTTCAGACCCTCCGAGAGACTTTGGGAACACCACCTCCCCTCACCAGACCTCAGTTTCCCCCTGTAAAATGGGGATCTTTAGAGGGCATCACAGTGGTAATAAGAGCCCACATTTACTGAGCACTTGCTATGTACCAGCCACTCTTCTCAAGTGCTTTCCGTGCAAAATTTCACAAGATCCTTACAACGCTCTGAGGCTGCTATAAGCACTATCCCCATTTTACGGAGGAGGAAACTGAGACACAGACATGTAGTGTCTTGCTCAAGGTGATAGGGGTGGTGAGGGGTGGAGCCAGGATCAGAACCCAGGTGGCTTGACTCAGAGCCCACCCTCCTTACCACCACCTGCTCTAGGCTGCCCAACTCCAGCTGCAGAACGCTGGGTTTCCCATAGCCTGTGCTAGGTCCTGTGAGACAGGCGGATGGGGCAGGGGTTCTTCCCAGGAAGAGGGAGCAGCCTCTTCAAACTTACCACCTGGTCCACAGGAGGCACAAGGCAGAGTTTTTAAGAGACAGCCTTTGAACTTAGGCCCCTGACTTTCGTCCCTTTGCCCCTTGCTCTCCTGTCCCCATCATCCTGACAGTCACCACTTACTGAGTACTTCCAGGGCTATGCCAGGCACAGTCAGTATCCCATATGCCCCCACTACCACCACTACCAAGGACCCTGTGAGGCAGGGACTGCAGAAACGCCCCTTTTACAGATGGGAACTGAAAGCTCTCAGAGGACCCCACCAGAATGGGGCAGAGGTGAGGTTCCATCAGACCCCAGAACCAGTGTTCTTCCACCCCCACAGGCTCACAAAAGCCCATTAACACCCAGCTACAGGCCAGACCCACACACATGTTCCCACTGTGCACAAGGGGCATCCCAGCAGTCACAACCAGGACACTTAGAGCTGGCTGTGCCAGGCAGCCAGGAGGGGCAGGCAGGACTGGGTCCCACCACTCATGGGCAGAGAGGGAGGGAGAGGAGCTGAGGGTGGGGCAGGGAGCTGCCCCCACTCACCCCAGGCTGAAGACCCCAGAACCAGTGTTCTTCCACCCCCACAGGCTCACAAAAGCTCATTAACACCCAGCTACAGGCCAGACCCACACACATGTTCCCACTGTGCACAAGGGGCATCCCAGCAGTCACAACCAGGACACTCAGAGCTGGCTGTGCCAGGCAGCCAGGAGGGGCAGGCAGGACTGGGTCCCACCACTCATGGGAAGAGAGGGAGGGAGAGGAGCTGAGGGTGGGGCAGGGAGCTGCCCCCACTCACCCCAGGCTGAGGCCGAATCCAGGGCAGCATCTGGGGCTGGTCATCTGGGTCCAGGACCACGAAGGTCATGAAGGCACTGTTGATATGCCGCCGACGGGTCTCGGCCTCCTGGCGATAGGCCTCCACGCACACGCCCACCTCCATGCTGACGGGGAGGGAAGGCGGCTTCCATACTGGCAGACCTTCCAATGCCACGGCCCCCCACATGCTCACACACATACACACTCGCACATACACATACGCCTGCAATCCTGGTTCAGAATTCCGGCAGGAAACCTAGAACTGTTCCCTTCCATCAATGTTTACAGAGAACCTACTGTGTGTCCAACCCTGGGCAGGGACACAGAAATGAATAAACCTGTCCAGTCCACGCTTCATGAGCTAACAGCTGGCAGGGAGGCAACAAAAAAGAAAGCAAAGTATAAATATGTAGTGACAAACTGCAAAGGGTTAGGAAAGGACACAAACAAGGAGGGGGACGGCCTAGTTAGAAAAAAATGTTCATTATACACATATTCACACGTGCTGTAGCAGCCCTGCTCCTAACAGCCCAGTTGCCACTATTTCTGTGTATCTGTCTTTATTAGTTATAGAATAGCAGCCACCACCATTCCCCCTCACTTAGGAGGTTCTATGATCACAGCATGTGGACAAATGGGGAAACCGAGACCTACATCAGGGCTATAATTTGCCCAGGGTCACATAACCAGTCAGGAAGAGAACCTGCCCTAGAAACCAGGCCTTGCAGCTCCTGGGAAAGGGCTTTTCCCCTGCACGGCAGCAGAACGTGTGCTGGTCAGACTGCAAATAACAACAACAACAATAATAATACTAATAATAACAGCAGCAGCAATGGGTGGCCTTTCCTGAACATTTTCTCTGGCATTCTACTAGTAACACCTCACTGAGTCCTCACAACTAGGAGGTAGTGGTGGTAAGTCCCATTTTACTGGTGAAAGAACTAAAGCTCAAAGGGGTTAAGTAACTTGCCCAATATCACACAGCCAGTCAGAAGTAGAGCTAAACTTGAACCCAGGCAGCCTGGCTCCAGATCCCTTACCTTTAATAATTATCCTGTGATGTCTGAAATCACCAAAAAATATGCTTGTTTAAAGTAAGCTTTCTTGGGTCTGGCTGGTTAGCTCAGTTGGTTAGAGCCTGGTGTTATAGCACCAAGATCAAGGGTTTGGATCCCCGAACCAGCCAGCCATCAAAAAACAAAAACAAAAAATAAAGTAAGCTTTCTTGGGAGTAGGTATCAGAATTAATTCCAAAGATAAGGACTCTGGAGACTAATTGTTTTAGGAAGTGGATGAAAAAGGGTTTGATAAACCACCAAACACTGGCAAGAAGTGGCCCTGTGGTCTGAGCATCTGCAGCGTACCAGGCCCAGAGCCAGAAGCCAGGGAGAGAGACCCAGATACACTGAACACATGGTATGATCCATGCTATGAGTCGAGTGTGTCCACTAAAAGTTCATCTGTTGGAAACTTGATCCCCACTGTAATAGTGTTAAGAGGGTGGGAAATCCAATTGTGGTATTTGAAAGGTTGGCCTTTAAGAGGTGATTGAATCATGAGGACTATGCCCTCATGAATGGATTAATCCATTCTTGGAGTAATGGATTAATGGTTTAATGGGCTATCAGGGAGTAGACTGATGGCTTTATAAGGAGAGCAAGTGAGCACTTCAAAGCTCTCTTGCCATTCTCGCCATGTGATACCCTTAGTTGCCATGGGACTCCATATACAGCCCCCACCAAGAAGAAGGCACTCACCAGATGTGCAGCCTGGACGTTGGACTTCCCAGCCTCCAAAACCATAAGAAATAAACCTCTTTTCTTTATACATTACCCAGTTTCAGGTATTCTGATATCAGCAACAGAAAATGGACTAATACAATCCAGGACAGCAGGAAGCACAGGGGCTGAGGGAGCCCAGAGCAGGGTCTCTGACCCAGCCAGGGGTAGGCAGCAGCGGGAGCCAGGGAAAGCTTCCAGAGGAGGGAACGTCAGAGCTGAATTTGGTAATAGTGAAGGGACCCAGCAGCCAGGCAGGGGTTTAGACCTTGTCTGCAGGGTGAAGTGTTCCTGGCAGGTTTGAAGTAAGGTCCTTTCTAGGGTCAGGAGAGCCCTCAGCCCTCAGTGGTCCCAGTCCCACCCACCCCAGCCCCTCACCTATGCTTGAAAGCGTTGTTCACAATGGCCTTGAGCACCAGACGGTCCCCAACCTGGGACGGGCCTCGGAAATGGAACATCTCAATGGCCTTCAGTGTAGGGTGGGCACGGCAAAGTCGGCTGGGGAGGCAGGGGTGGGAGACAAGAGAAATGCCACCAGTGCTCCAGCCATCCCCCGCTTCCATCCCCAGACCCAGTCTGGAATTACACATATCACCCTGTGACCCACTCTCTGCCACCCAATAACTGACAATTCTGCTCAGAGGCACAGAACTAAGTTCCACTTCACAGCTTAGAATACTGAGGTCTGTGTGCACAGCTGGAAAGGAGCCGAGTTCGAAATGACAGAAGAAAGCCTGGGACAGGGCTTGGGGTAAACTTCTTCCCCATTTTCCTTCCAACTTTTACACCTTAGTACCTGCTGTTCCCATTACCTGGAAGCCCACCTCTTACCCAAAACTACTTGTCATTCAAGGCCCAGCTGAAGTGCTCCTCCTCCAGGAAGTCTTCCCTGACCATCCAAACTCTCACCCCCCTCTGAGATCTTACTGCCAGGACTGGCCAAAATTGTATTGCTATGCACAGTCTCCCACAAGTTAAACATGGAAGAGGGGCTGCTTGAGACAGGCTCTAAAGGATGAGGAAGAATCCACCTGGCTGAGGGGGGAGGTGGGTTGGGAAGGGCACTCCTGGCAGACAGAACAGTGAGTACAAAGCCTGGAGGTGTGAGAGTGCCAATTTGTGAATGTCAGTTATCATACCTATAAAAAATACCCTGATATTTAGGGTATAAGGAGCCCCACACAGGCACAGAGGTTATAGGAGAAAGAAGAAATTATTTTCACTTTAGGAAGAAGGCTACAATCAGAGGTGGCTTTGTGGAGGAGGTGGGCAGGATGTCAGCACACAAAGAATAGTGAGGGATGCCTGGCGGGAGGTTACTCCAGGAGCAAAGGCAGGGCTGCTTAAGTGGAGGATGGGAGCAGGGAATGGCAAACAGCTTGATGTGAAGGGAGCACGGATACCAGGATGGGTGCAGGCAAGGCCCAGTCAAGGGGAGGCTCTAGTGCCAGGCCAGGGGCTCGGTGCTCCCATGTAGGTGATGGGGGCCACAGTGGGCTTTTTGAGTGGAGGAAGGAATGGCCAGTTCACAAGAAACTATTTCTCTCTTGTTGTCTGGGTCTGAAAGCCCCAGGTTGCCCTAACAGAACAGCCACACTTCTGAAGTGTGAATGCCAACACCAAGCTGGGTTTCTCCTCCCGAGCGAGCTGGTCAAGGGAAGGAGGAGGGCAAAGGAGGGGCAGCAGAGACAGCACACTCCCCCTCACCTGGCTGCAATGGTGGCCACGTTCTCCATCCAGGCCATGATCTGGCCCCCAAAGGTGCTTCCCTGGTGATTGGCGTGAGGGGGCAGGACCAGCTCCACGCTCTCCACGCGGGTCTTCTCGGCTGGCACCATGAGGCTGCAGTCTCTGCTCTCCAGATCTGTCCAGGGAGGGCAGGAAGGGAGGCAGGGAGGTGAGAAAGCTCCCAAGGGCAGACCCTCCCCACACGCAGCCCCAGGACCTCCACTACTCCATCCCACTCGGGTTCTGACTTAGCACCATGTGCATGAGGTACCAGCTGGCCCTGGGGGTGCCATTTGTCTCCCCCTCCTAGTGGGGGAGACCATCAGGGAGAGCCTATCAAAGAGGTGGCATTACACTTGGCTCACAGGCTCTCGAAGATGCCACAGGCAGGGTGGGAACAGAGAGGAGGGGAAGCTGAAGGTGGCCTGAGCCAAGGTCTGGAGACAGGATGGGCAGGACATTCACAGGGTACAACGAGGCCTCTGGCTTGGTCAGAGCTCAAGCAAGTAAAAGGACAGCACTGCCAAGGTTGACCAGTCAGCCCGAAGGCCCAGGTGCCAGGCAATGGCATCTGGATGGATCCTTGGGGTGAAGGGCTGTCAGAACAGGAGGGACTTAGGAGGCCACAGTGGGATGGATGGATCCAAGGGGTCTTGATGATTGTAAAAAGAGCTGGGCCCCCCCACCGTGACCTCCAAGCCCAGCATAAACAGAGCACATGGGATTCAGACCACGGGCTTGCTGCTTTCACTGGCCTGAGCAAGTTCTATCTGCTCTCTCCCCACTCTGGGCAGCTGAGTTAATTTTTTTTGTCCTAAAATTGCCTCCTTTAGGTTTCAAGGAAGACCCCACATTCAAACATTTGGGAGACTGGTAAACAAATCCAAGGTCCCCCTCGGGCCTTTGCCCGGACTGTGCCCTCTGTGAGGAACACCTTCCCTCATTTCTCCACCTGTCCAGCCCTTCCCAGTCCAAAGGAGATCTCTGTGTACTGATAGAGAACAATCTCCAAGACACTTTTTTTTTTTTTTTTGGCAGCTGGCCAGTGTGGGGAAGATTTATCTTTAAGGGGGAAAAAGCAAGATACAGAACAGTATCTACTGTGTGTTCTCTTTTGGGTTAAAAAAAGGGGGGGAGGCTAAATAATACATACTATGCTTAAATAAGCAGGGAATACGTCTTACCCCAAAACAGGCAAGAGCATTGCCTCTGGGGAGGGGACCTGGGTTCTAGGCTAGGAGGGAGACTTGCTTTTTATTCTACATCTTTTTGGGAAAATACATATGTATGCTTTTTTTTTTTTTTTTTCCTTTTTTGTCTTTTTTACTGACAGGTAACGGGATCACAACCCTCGGTGTTCCGCCCGCACCGCGCTCAGCCAGTGAGCAGGAACCAGTCTCCACATGGGATCCGAATCCTCGGCGGGAGTGCCACCGCACTCCCAGGTGGCGCACTCTCCAGTGCGCCACCGGGCCGGCCCTATATGTATGCTTTTTAAAAAATCCTACAGGGCCAGCCAGTTAGCTTACCTGGGCAAGCATGGTACTAATAACACCAAGGTCAAGAGTTCAGATCCCAGTAGCAGCCAACCACCAGAAAAAAAAAATCCTACAGTGTCTTCAAGGCCTAGCTCAATACTACCTTCCCAAACAGCTTGGCTCCTAGAGACTCAAATGTCCTAACTCCATCCTCACAGTTCCTGGCAGCTGGGCAAGAGGCCCAAACATGCTGCTTTCCCTGGAGGAGACCTTGAGGCCAAGAGGGCTAGGCAGGCCTAAGGGCACCAGAGAGTGAACATCCCCAGGAGACCCCCGTCCTCCCTCAGTGTAGTAGGGGCCCAGGGCAGAGAGGGCGGGCTCACCATCCTGAATGACGCAGTTGGCCAGGAGGTCCTTGATGGTGTCTGCATAGACCAGTCGCATGCGCCGGCGCTCGGCAGCCACACTGTGCTCCATCTTCTCCTCTTCCGTCCGTGGTGTGATCTGCTTCAGCTTCACCTGTTGGTCAGGGGACAGGGTGGAGGATGTTCAGGACAAGTTTCCTGAAATAGCACAAGGGCCCATCTCCCAGCCCCCAGCTCATGCCTGAGGCTGGCTCACAGTAGGCCTGGGGCTACTGGTTGGTCCTCAGGCTTCCTCCCCTCTGTCCCCATCTTCTTATCTCCACCATATCCATCCTCCAAAGGTCCCCCAGTCCTGGTCCTCGGGCAAAGTCCCAGAGGATGGGTGGAGGGTGTCACTATAGGACATGACGACCAGGGAGACCTGAAGAATCCTCGCATGAGACGTGCAGAGAGAGGTGGGGAAAGGAAAGAAGGGAGGCCCCTGGGGTCCAATCACTGTGGGGGATGGGCCTTCCTCTGGGGGCTGTGGAGCCCTGCTGTGCCCCTCCTCAACCCCTCCACCAACACCCAGCCTCGGCGTCCTGGTCCCGCCACCTGCCTTGGAGATCTCCCGGTGGGCCACAAAGGTGGCCAAGGCCTTGCACACATTCCACTGCTTCTCAGAGCACAGGTCCTCAGAGGCCACCTGGATGCCTACCTGGAGAGGAAGAGTAAGGTAGGAGGAGTGAGGGGGAAAGAGAGCTCATCAACTGAGGCCCCACAGCTCAATGAGACAGCAGGTCCCACCCCAGGCCAGGCCTCTGGTATTTCTATATCACCTACCAGGTCCAGGAGGCCAGAGACCCAGGATAGGTTCCGACTTTGCCCCTGGTCCCTGGAAACCTCAGGCAAGTCAATTCCCTTCTCTGGGTCTCAGTTTCTTCATCTGTAAAATGGGAGTGACCATACCTATTCTTGCAAGGTTATTAAGAGGATTAAAATGAGACTGTCCACAAAAGGGCTTGCAAAGGTAAAGTGTTGGCTAAATTTAAAGGATGGACACCTGGTCACGCCTAGGTGGTCCCTGGGCATATATGGAGTGCTCAGGCATAGTCAGGACTCTGCTATCCCAGCCTCAGTGGTCCCTCAGGAACCATTGGCTTAGCTGGGTGAAGCTGCCCGGGTCTGAAGTCCACGGGTGGAAAATAGAGTCCTCCCCCAGAGCTCACAGAGCCCTGTGCATCACCATGCAGTCTTCCCATTAAACCTTCAACAACCCTGCAACATAGGAATCATGCTCCCATTTTACAGATGAGGAGACAGAGGCAGTGGGAGGTAAGCAAACGGGCCACAGCCCCATGCTCTCCCTGCTCCAGCCCCTCTGCCTCCAAGATCAAGCACAGAGCCTTTCTTTCCTCCAGTCCCACAGCCATGCAGCTGCCAAAGAGCCGGTCTGAGGCTAGGTGTGAAGACTCAGGAGGCTGAGAGTCAAGTCCCAAGTTGGAATCTATGTGCTCGGTGATCTGAAGCAAGTGCCTTCTCTTTCCTGGGCCACAATTTTCCCTCCTGCATTATAAGATGTTAGACAGGAAGATCCTGAGGATCGTCCTAGTCCTGCCAGCTGGTTCAGAACTCTGAGTCCCGACCAGGGCTCTGCAAGTCTGAGTGGCCTGGGCTGGGGGCTGAGAGGAATAGAGAGGCAGTAGAGGACCCACCCACATGCCCGCTCCCAGGCAGTGCCCACCCCACACACCTCCATGCTGGAGTTGAAGGCCCGGTTCACCTTGGCCTTGATATTCACCACTTGTCCAACACTGGGGAGAGGAAAGCAGGAGGTGAGCCTTCCAGAGGGGACAGAGGGATGGAGCGGGGGCCTCAGACACTCACAGCACCTCTGCTGGGGGAACTGGCGGCAGAACGTCATGGCTTGCAGAGCGTATGCACATCTGTGATGTCACCGAGTCCTCAAAGCAAGCCAGCAAGATAGTGTGAGCACCCTCCTTTACAGCGGGAGGCTGAGAGACGTGGTGTGATCTCATCCATCCCCTCTTCCCCTGCTCCCTGCTGTCCAATTAATGCTTGAGCTTCCTTTTGCTCTTGGCTCAATGGTCCCCTCCCCTGGGAAGCCTTCCCTGCCCTCCAGCAGCCCTGTGAGGCTCGCTCACCCTCCGACACTTCTCCCAGTGGATTGACCTCTGTGTCCCCACAATCCTTAAGCTCCATGGGGCAAGAGCCATGTGTTTTGCTCACCATTGACTCTCTAAGGCCTAGCACATGGCACAGATTGGGTCCTCCATAAACAGAGGCTGACTGAGTTAATGAATCCCACATTTATTGAATGCCCACTAAGTGTAAGGGGCTATAAACAGAGTGGGAAGGGAAGTGGAAACATTTAAAGAATGCCTGCTATGTGCCAGGCACTCTGCACTACCTCATCTGAGACTAAAAACAAGCTTGGCAGGAAGGTTTAGGGGGGATTGAGCATCAGAGAGGTTAAGCTATTTGCCCAAGGTCACCCAGCTAAAAAGCGCTAGGATTCTAGACTGATTCCATAGACTGCACCAGCCCTGCACTTTCCAGCTGCAGCCTGTCCCTCTGGAATGATTCCTAAGTCCAAATGAATCCCCAAGGGAGCCCCCCAGCTTGCCCTGTGCCCAGCTAGAGTCAGCAGAGGGTGCCCAGCTGATGAACTGTGGGGAGGAGGGAGCAGGAGGTTGGAGTGCGGCCCCATTCGACTGCTGTGACCTTGAGAAGTCCTTTCGCCTCTCTGCACCTTGCTCATAAACATGGAGAGCACAGTGCTGATTTCTTCCTCAAATAACACAGCCTCCTGATCAAGCCTAGGAAAGGTCTGCTGGTCAAGGGGCCACAGTGAGCACAGTGGGAGGGGTACGCAGGCCTGGGTTCCAGTCAAGCTCTATCTTGACTGTCACTCTACCAAGCTGCGTGACCTTAGGTGAGTCACTTTGCCTCTCTGAGTGTATTTCCTTGTGTGTGAGGTACAGAGAATGCATGAACACTGCCTGAGGTTCTGAGGGTCAGGTGAGAGGAAGTTTGGCAGAGCCCAGCACCAGGCCTGGCCCACAGCAGGAACTCAATGAACAGCATGAGCCCACGTGGACCAGACGTTTGTTGATTTCTGTTCACTTTTTTTAGCAGTTCTAATGGTCATGTAGGGGAGGGCCATTTTTAGGACAGACATGCTGACATGTTGAGGGATGCAGTGTCACGATGTCTGCCACTTACTTTCAAATGGTTCAGGAAAAAAGAGAAAGAAAGAGAGGAAAAAGTATATGCAGGGGGAAGCCAAGCCCAGCCGCAACCAAGTAAAGAGCACACCAAAAACACCATTTCACCAGTGGAGACCAGGAAAAAAAAGAAGTCGTCTCTCTCGACAAAGCACAGTCCAGAGTAATAGAAGAAGCATCTGCTATACGATAATAGTGGGGACCCGAACACACGTGTCTCAGTACTGGACAGATCATATAGGCAACAAATCAACAAACAGTTAATCTACCAGGAGAGAACAAATCTATGGTTATTAGAGGAGTGGGAGGGGGAGAGATTGGATAAGGGGCATAAAGAATAAGTATGATTTATAATCATGAATATGCTAATAAAATTGTTAAATATACGTATTTGTGCATATGAGGGTACTTCAAAAAGTTCGTGGAAACATTCAATTTTTTTCTTATTATCTTTCAATTCTATTTTTCCACAAACTTTTCAAAGTAACCTCATATATAGATAAAGCAAATTTAGCAAAATGTTAATTATTGAATTTCAGTTCTGGTGATCACTGCACTATCCAACCTTTCTATACATTCGAAAGTTTTCATGATCAAAAATCAGAAGAAAAATAACATCTATGGTTGCCAAAATAAAAACAAAAGTCTATTTTCTGTGGTACTAAAGGAGAAATTTGTGACTCTTCCTCTCCTCCCCTTTCCCCTCCCTCTAGTTTCCCCAGAAGCCAAGTGGACACCCACTGGGACTTCCGAGCTCCTCGTCCTCCCTGACTGTCCATCCTCACAGCTCAGGCCCAAACTGCTCCTTCTCCAGGGTCACTTCCCCGCCTCCTGGGGACCCCCTCCAGCTCCCCAACACCCCTCCAGGTGTTCCTCACAATGTAGAGGCACTCCCTGTAAACTAATCTGACCCCTGTCAAGCCTTTCCCTAGAGCCAATTCACTCTCAGGGGACAGAGGAACATGTTAAATTACACCATAGTCATGCTAACAGCAAAACCCAGCTGATGGAGAACACTAGAGGGCAGTAACTGGGTTTCCTCAACAAATACATGTCAAGGAAAAAAAACAGAGGGGGAGGGTGAGAGAAAGAGAGAGAGATGGCTGGTACTGGGGGAGGAGGAGTATCTATAGATTGAAAAAAAGAGAGACATAGCAACCAATTGAATTGCAACCTTATTTGCATCATGGTTTAGATAACAAAAATAACTGTAAAGCAAAACAAAATAAAAACAAATTCATAAGACAGTGTGGGCATTCGAACACTGACTGGATGGAGCTGGCAGTGGCTCACTTCAAGCATCATGCTGATAACACCAAGGTCATGGGTTTGGATCCCTGCACCGGCCAGCCACCAGAGAAAAAAATTAAAAATGAACACTCACTGAATATCGATGTTAGTGAGAAATCATTGTTAATTTTTTTTTTTTTTTTTGGGTGTGGTAATGGTGTTGAGGTTATGTTTAAAAAGAGTTTTTAGGCCTTAGAGATACATTTGGAAATATTTTTAAATGGCAAAAACAGAAACAAACAAAAAACCTTCCCTGCTTTCCTCAGGTGCAGCCAGGCCTTCTTGGCCACCAACCCTGCTCCAGGCCCCTCCCCAGCTTGCCTTTCATCCCAGGATCCTCTCTGGCTTTCGCTTTCAACCAAATCCTCCTCTGCCCAGACTCACGTGCACTTGTGGGGCTCTACAGCAGGTCCATCCATCACGCATGCATCCCCAGCTCTCACTATCCCTAGCTCCTCCTCTGTGTTGGCAGCAGAGACCCAGAACTGGCCCAGGCGCAGTCCCCCTTGCCTTTTAAGTGTCGCTATGTACGGTGCTGACAGTACTGGGGTCAGCTCGAACACATCCCCCAGGAAGCCCCCCTAGATTACAACCACCCCCAGGTATACAGGAAATGTAGCCCACTGACTAGGAGTCAAGGCTTTGGAGCCAGACTATCTCCCTGGTAGTACATCCTGGGTTCTCCATTAGCTGTATGACTTTATGCAAATTACGTCACTTCTCTGTGCCTCAGTTTCCTCATCTGTAAAATAAGGATACTAACAGCCATGACCTCATAGTGTTGTTCTGAGGATTAAATAAGTTCATGCATTTAAAAGGCATTACAAATATTGGATCAATATTGGTTCATTAATTGTGACAAAGGTACCTTACGAATGTAAGATGTTAATAACAAGGGATCTGGGTGTGGGACATATGGGAATTCTCTGTACTGCCTTCAGAGGTACTTTTTTTGTGTAAATCTAATAGTATTCTAAAATAAAAAGTATCTAGAAAAGTATTACAAAGAACCCATGTGTCAGAGTTCATCATCAGGATGGAACCTCACACTTTGAATTCAGATGATGTTTCTACACCTGCCTCTCCTGCAGACCTGGAGCTCCTGGAACAGAGATGGAGGTCCAGTGGACTTTATGTACTCAAACCAGCATGACCCCTGGTCCAGAAAAGGTGTTCCACTAATATTAAGTATGTAGTAAATGAATGACTGAGTACAGGGACTAGCCAAACTCTTCCTTAACCATGACACACTGGGCACCCAGGAAGTCCTGCAAAAGCTCTTGGCACTTATCCTAGGGACTGATGGCAAATTTAGGAGTAGGTCTGGAGACAAGAGCTCTGTGTGCAGCCCTTGCAGCCTGTCCGAGGCCAAAGGTGCAGCATGCTCCTTGGGTCCCAGAAGCAGGACAAGAACCTACGGGCAAAGCTATGGAGAGACAGAACTAGTGCAGCGTAACGAAGAGCTTTCTAACCAGTACAGCCATTAAAAAAAGAAAAAATGTCTATCCTGATAATGAGCTCCTCAATGACCTGGAGGTATGTGAGCAAGGGTGAATGGCCCAAGCTTCCGGCTCAGGCTTTGCCAAGGTGCCTTGTCTAGGGGCCTCCAGACAGTCCAGTGACTGATGACCCACAGAGAGTATCCAAGCTCAAAAAGGGATTCACTGATTAAGTCTAATCCCTTCCAAATTGCAGATAAGAAAACTGAGGCCTTTGGGCCGGCCCGTGGCTCACTCGGTAGAGTGCGGTGCTGATAACACCAAGGCCCCGGGTTCGGATCCCACATAGGGATGGCTGGTTCGCTCACTGGCTGAGCGTGGTGCTGACAACACCAAGTCAAGGGTTAAGATCCCCTTACCGGTCATCTTTATAAAAAAAAAAAAAAAGAAAGAAAACTGAGGCCCAGAGAGAGACAGAGACTGACATCCCCAAAGTCATGCAGTACCCATGATGCTGTCTCAGCAACATCCAACTCCAGACCTAAGCAACTTCGTAAACCTCACCCTGACAAAGAGAACCCACCTCTTGGCACCCAACAACAGCCCAGCTCCTAGCCCATCATGGTCCCAGAGATCCTGCAGACAGGTTCTTGCCCCCAGATGCTGCCCCCATTCTATTTTCAAAGAACTTGGGTCAGTTGAGTCTGGCTGTAGGCAGCACAAAGACTGACCAGGTGTGGAGACAGGGGAGCAGGCCACAGACTCAGGGTAGGGAGAGCAGAGAGACTTTGAGGCAGGAGGGGCCACTTACCTAATGGTGTGCTCAAAATAGATATCGTCCATGGAGGCCGTGACACAGGGGCAGCCAGCATGCCTCTCCGCTGGCATCAGAAGAAGAAAGGCAGATGTTAGCAGCCATCCCACATCTACAATCCTCTGCTCAAATGTCACCTCCTCAAAGGGTCCTCCAACCACACAACCAAGGCCATGCCTCCCACCCATGCTCTGAACCTGCCTTCTTTTGTTCTTTCACTGCAGTTACCACTCCCTGACCCCGTTTTAAATATCTGGTTTCTGTCTATTGTCTCTCCCTTCTGCTAGACTGTAAGTTACCTGAGGGCAAAGGTTTTTGCCTGTCTTGTTCATTGCTGTACCCCAGTCCTGGAACAGTGCCTGGCACCTAGTAGGAACTCAGTAAGCAGCTGTTGAATGAATGAATGGTCATGCCGTGATGTTCTACTTCCTGGCCTCCTTGAGCGCCTGTACCTTTGCCCAGCTCTGTTTCCTCCCCTGAGTCATCTTACCCTCAAAGACTCCGCTCAGGTGCCTGAGCCCCTCTGGAACCCCTCCTGGCCCTCAGGGCTGGGTCAGGGTTTCTCAAACAGTGCTGGGAGGCAGTCAGATCAGCTCTCTGTCCCCCAACCTCACCCTACCCAGCGGTGAGCTCCCTAAGGGTTGGAGGGACTCAAGAACAACAAAGGGAATGAAGTGAGATCAATTCAGCTCAGTTCAGCTCAACTCCATGTAGGGAGCACAGTACGGCAGACACAATTGTAGTCTCTGCTCACAGCATTTTCCAGCCAGTCTCGAAGCAGCCCTGTTTAAGGCTGTGCTGTGTTGAACCTGGGACCTAAGGGTACAGGACCACCATTCAGGGCTGTAGAGGTTTGGGGAGAGAGCGATGGCTGTTCTGAGCACTGAGAGAGTGGGAAGGCATTTCAAGCAGGTGGACCAGTGTGAGCAAGGGCTAGATGAGGAAGAGGTGTGGCACTCGGAGGGGACAGTGACCACATCTGAAGATCAAGGCCTCTGCTTTGGCTCTCTGGGGCCTATGGGTGGGAGGACGGCTGTACCGAGTGCAGCCTCACCAGACAGGCAGGCCGTGGTGTCGATCCACTTGAGCAACTGCCCGACGCTCAGCTCACCACGCTGGTTGGTGTGGCAGGGCAGCACCAGCTGGCTCATCTGCACCTCCGTGGGGTTCCGGTACCCCTCGCCCTCTGCCATGGCGAAGTCGTTGTCCCCTGCACGTGAGGCTGACTTCCGGGATGTGCGGCTCGAGAACACAGAGGCAAAGCCCTGGGGAACATGTGGGGACAGAGGTCAGCTCACCAAGGGGTCTCCCAGGTCTGCCCAGCCCTGAGACCTCAGAGCCTGAGGGGCAGGAGAGAGCAGCCCAGGGCCACCTCTCACCAGACCCCACCCCAAGAGTGGGCTCCACTCTCCAGCCCATGGTCTGACCCCAGGGGGCTATCTGGGTGCACCTATGCCCAGTTTCCTTTTGGCTAGCAACTCCATGTTAACATAACTTTGGAACCGAGGGAGAGGGAGGGGGGAGAGGAATAATGCCGAGAATCCAGTCTTGCTCACTTCAGCTGTGGCCAGCCTTTTACAGTTTGACCTTAGATTCACCTTCCTTCTTGAAAGAGTCCTCTTTTCTACACAGGGAGGCCTAGTGACTCTGTAGCAGTGAAGCCAGGGATTTATTCCCAGGGAAGTGTTTCAAAAAGTAGCTACAATTTCATCCCCAAAGGGCCCCTTTCTTGGGCTCATTGGCCCTGCAGATGACACCAGAAGTAGGGCCGCTGCTGAGGGCTGATGTCTTCAGCACTTGGATCTACTGACTGGGAGGGCTCTGGGCAGTCACTGACCAGCTGTCTGATCCAAGGCAGGGCTACAGCAGCTGCCAGCTGGAGAACCAGCAGAGAAAATCCTCAAACTCATGAATTAGGGGTGGGGCTTCTGCTCAGAGCCTGGCTTGCACTTCTCCCCAGGCAGAAGAGTGGGGCGCACCTGTCAGTCCCTGGGATTGGAGGGGAGGCAAGCTGCCATCCCCTCTCTGGGCTTCCCTCCCTAATCGGACTGTGAACTTGAGAGCTGGGCACATCTGTATGTGTGAGAAAAATGAGGAGAGATGGGCATGTGGGTCCCAATTCCCATGGCCAATGCCCACAGTGTGGTGGTAATAGTTGCCACCAACGTTTACATAGCACTTAAGTGTCACATATTCTTCTAAGCACTTTACATGTACTAATTAAATTTTTTCCATTCAACAGACCTATGAGACAGGCATGTGATTATCCTCATCTTACAGGTGAGGAATCTGAGGCCCAATTACGTAGCAAAGCCCAGCCGTGACCCCAGGTCTGACTTCAGAGTCTTAGCTCCCACCTACCACACTACACAGTTTGCAGGGCCCTGGGCCTGGATGCAGCAGCAAAGAGCATCATGACCCAATGGCAGGACTGCCACAGCATAGGATGGGGTGGTGATGGCTCTCATGCTGGAGGCTGTACTCCTCAGATGATTCCCTCTATGAGGCTCCCAGAGCTAATTCAATAAATTCAAAATTCACCAAGGTAACTTGTTCAAGGTCACTGACCCCTAAGTGGTAGGAGCAGGATTTGAACCAGGGCTATCTGACCCAGAAATGCTTGTGGGTTCCCAGAGATGCAGCTCATTCCCGAGAGCCCTTGGGTACCAGGCACAGTGCTGGGCATTGAGGGGACAGAGGAGGGCAGCTGCTCCAGGAGCCCTCAGCCTGGGTGCAGGCCTGTGGGGTGCTAGGCTGCCCAGCTTGCAGGCTCTTGCAGGTGGCTTGAAGGCCACCGTGATCCAAGCAGCAGGACCCATCGCCATGGTAACCATGCCAAGGCATTGCTGGCCTGGTTGTGCACTGGAGCCTGCATGGACGTGGATGGGGGTGGCTGGCTTTCTGGGTGCAGGAGCTGGTAGAGGAGGCAGGCAGACTCCATTCACCCACACTCTTCCCAAACCCCTCCCACAGCCAGGGGTTCTGAACATTCCAGAAAGAAGCCCTGGGGAGAGCTGAGGAAATGGGAGAGGCAAGATGCAGAGAGCAAGTGGGTAGAACAAAGAGAGCAGGCGTCTGGGGTTTCTGGGTGGTGTGGACATGCACAGGGAAGTCCCCACCTCATGTCCCTGCTTCATCAGCCTATGCACATCTACTGCCTCACAGGATCCTCACAAGGGAGGTTGGAGGCAAGGACTGTTAACCCATTTTACAGATGGGGAAACTAAAGATGGAAAAAGCCCTGCACCAGCAGTCAGGATACCTGAGTTCCATCCTCTCTCTGCTTCTCACCTGGTCAATCCCTACTCCCATGGGCCTCCTGTTTCCTGTTCTGTGAAACAGGACTCTACCTTTCCACTACACTCTCCGTGCCTGGAGACAGGACCTTTGCCTCATCCGCTCATTAATCTGTTCATTCATTCATTCGCCAAGCACCTTCTCTGACCTGGGCCCTAAGCCAAACACTGAGAACATAAAGACAACTTGGGCCAAGAAGGCCTGACACACAGTAGGACCTCATCAAAGGTTTGTGGAGGGACAATCAGAAACAGACTTGAATTCAAGTCCTAGCCCTGTCCGTCAGGTGCTGTGTGGCCCTGAGAAAGGTCCCTCTCTTCCTGAGCCACATCTGTCACTCACCAGGTTGGGGAAAGAACTGCCAACCCCTGAGGTACCCCCAGCCCTGGTTCCAGGATTCCAGGATCTAAGCCTGCCTGGGGTCTGGTGTGCCCAGCTGAGTTCCAATGAGGAAGCTGCAGAGGCTGACCCCCTGTCAGATAGGAAACACTGTGCTCCTCCAAGAAGGGCTGAAGGACAAGCCTCAGTGTTGCTGTCCCCCGCTCCCCTCTAAGAGAGGGCTGCAGAGCCCCTGGGCTGGAGTACAGGCAGTGGGGACACAGGAGCTCAGGTGGCCCCAGGCATAGTCTCTCAGACTCCAACTCCTTCCTTGGACTCCAAGGCAGTCTGCCCACATCAGGGCAGACAAGGCCAGGCCTCCTAGTCCCAAGGTGGGCAGGCAGCCATCCTGGGAGGTAGGGGTGTGTGCAGCCGAGGCAAGGTTTGGCCAATGGGGTCCCAGAGCTGGGCCACTCCTCCTAGTGCCAGTCACAGGGACAGCAGGGGCCCTGGATGGAGCCAGGACCTAGGGCAGCCAGGCAGGCCAGACCAAGACAGCTGACAGGGAGGGCTGAGCTGCTGCAGGGATGGGAGGGCATCCAGAGGTCAGAGATGTGCTCTCTCAGATGGCAGCCATGCCAGGCGCTGGCCCCAGACCACAGCAGACCTGGCCAGATTTGTTCATCCTAGACTAGGCCTGAGCTGGCCACACCATGGTCCTACCTCCTGGGCCAGAGTCATGTCACAGAACTGCTGGGTCAGAGCAGGAGAGACCACCTCACCCAATCCCTTCACAGATAGGGAGGTCTGAGGCCTGGAGGGAAAGGCCGGTCCAGGTCACCGAGCTGGGAGAGCCAAAATCTGCCCTCCCAGGCCAGGGCTCCTTCTAGGTAATTTGACAACAGACCCACACTAACAGACGTAATCTTGATTTCCTCCCTCCTCTAGATGTCCAAGTCCCAGTGATCCAACCTCCTAAAATCTCAGTCTACCCACCGCCCTGACTCACTCAGGCCTCTGCACTGCTGGCTCTGGACTGTTTACAGAGCCTGACCACAGGCCTCCAGTCTCTCTACCTCCTTCCAGCCCTCACGCAGCACTGGAGGGACCTTTCCAAAAAGCAAACCCACTACTCACTATGCCCTGCCTTGCAGGGAGACCTGGTCAAGTCCTCATAATCCTACCACAGGACTTCACTCTGTCCCTTAGGGCCACACACTCTTTTCTAAAGAGCTAGCCTTACTGGGCACCTCCTCTGCTCAAGACTCCTCAATGGCTCTCCAGTGCTCTCAGCATTGAGGCCCAGCCACTATAGGTCCTGTCACGAGCTCCACCAGCTGCTCTGCCAGCTGCAGACCATGTGCACTTCCTCAAGGTACCACTCACTCCTGCTCTGTTCCTCCAGGGAAAAGCAGTGGTTCAGGTGATGTGAACATAGGGGCAAAGGGGAGCAGGTGGGAAAATGCTGGGCATACCTTCATGGGTGGAGACAGAGGGGCTGGAGTCAGTGGCTTGGAGGCCAGGCCAAGGAGTCCCCAGACACCCTGGAAGACTCCTGGAAGGGGCATGTCCTACAGTGATTAGCCAGCTGAGAGATCACAGGACCATCAGGCTTCACCCAGAACGGCAGGCCTAGTGCAAAGGAGACCTGCCTGTCCTGGCCAGGAGAAGCAGGCTTGGGTAACCTCTGGAGTAACCTACCATTACACAGGCTGTGCACAGGTCTTGGGGGTCAACCGGGCTTGGGTTCAAGTCTAGTTTCACAGCTAATTTCTATAACCTCAAGCAAGCTGTTCAGCCTCTATGGGCATCAGTTTCCTCATGTGTAAAAGTGGGATTATAATACCTACCTCCAAGGATCATTGTGGGAATGAAACTGAATGAGAGCGAGTATATAAAGTTCCTAGCACATGCCTACCCTATGGCTAACGTTTACTGAGCACTTACTGCTAGTGATATAAAGATGAGGTTGGGCTTCCTATAGTATAGCTAGGAGAGACCCACACAGTTCAAACTGGACTGTTTATACGGTACTTGGTACCCATTAGCTCACCAGAAGCTGGCAGCAAGCGTGTGAGGGGCGGGATGATTAGCCCGGCTGAGAAGATCTGTGAGAATTCAAGAAGCACGCAATTGCATGGCAGGGCTCCAAACCCCAGTGCAAGACTGCAGAGTCGTGGTCCCTTGGGAGAGGCGGGGGGG